TCAGAAAAACTTACTCACTGTCGTACAACCGTTCCTTTTCAGATAATTGTGTGTGGTGAAAACAGTTTTTGTAACACAGTGCAGCAACTATGCCAAAAGTCCAGTCCAGGGATATTCCTTTTCAATGTGTCATCTTTGACCACAGCTTAACGTGAGTGTGATCAGTGTGCCTGTAAACATGGTTGATGAAGCCAGGCAGTTTTTTATCAGGGTGGCGAGGCTGACACCCCCACTCACACAGGAGAAGCACAGACATTGTTGGTCATTCTTTTTTCAGTATGGCAAATTGCTGTAAGTAGCCAATTCTTTTGGGTACTTCATGACTGTTGTGTACAGCAATACAAATCAATTTTTAAAAAATTGTCAAACAAAATATGCTTTTTAAATTGCTAAAATTACAATTTAAATAACATTAGGGCTTGGGCGAAATTTTGACATATAAGATATTAGAACTGGAACATTAGTTTGTGCATAGTCCTCAAATGGGCTTCACTCCTGGTTGTGTAGGATGGTCAGAGCCACTCTGAGCCACGCCTTGGCTCCGCCCCTGCAACTGTGATGTCACAGGGTCCTGCAGCACACCTGTGCATCACTGCAGCGAGGTGTGAAGTCAAACCATTGGGGTCAGCGGAGAGATTTTTCGGTAAAGAGTGTAAAAAGTTACTCTTTCATTGTGAAATTCAGCTCAGTAAATTACACAGTACAGTGCAGTACACACAATACATCCACTGGCATTAGTAAGAAATAGTAAAGTGAACTTATCAGAAATATTACTTAACTTATTGTAATTTAAAAACTGAAAGTAACATTTGTGCATATATTGGCATACATTTTTTAGAACTTTATAACTCAGCTCTCCTGAGTATTTTACAATCCTGTGATGTAGAAAAGAGGTGTTTATATGTTGTAGGCTGAGGACTACTGTCTACCTGCTTATATTAGGTGACCTCCTCTTTTATACTTTTACTGACAATATTATCATTATATTCTACACTGTACATTTATTTTTTTAAATTCAAAAATATTTTCCATTTTTTAAAAGACAATTGGTTTCTTTTGACAAAAAATACTTGCCAAAAAATAAATACTTACACGATCGCAAGTAAAATTAAGGCTACAAAATGTATTTTGTATTTTAACTATGGAAAAGTATGTTTAAAAAAAAAAATACTAGTATTATTTTTTATTTACAATCTGGACCCACAACCGAAAGAAAAATAACTTTAAAGGATTATAATTAAGTTGCGATTTTAATTAATTTTTTTCTCTGAAGTTAGTCACACAAGGAAAATAATTTTCTAAAGTTTGTTGTGTTCATAAGCTCACAATCAAAACATTGTTTTACCGTCTCCATCGTGACTAGGAGCTTCCTTTATGCATCTGAAATTACACTGAACAGACTGCTTCACAGAAAAATTAATACAAGTGTTTAAAGGGAGAGCTGAAGAGCTTACAGACAAAGCAGTGGATAAAAATCAGAGAATAGCAAATCCTTTGAGCCGTCCCTCCAAATACCACCCAAGTCACAATACCACCCAGTCTGAAAGAGAAACAGAACTCATCATCAGTCCCACTCGAAGATGACTCCACTGTGTTTTGTCTCTGAGCTCCATGCAATTTTCACTGGCCAAATTTACAACACTGGTTGTCTAAGTGACCCCAAGTGAGGAAGTAGCACAGCGTGTCTGCCCGCACACCCTCGCTGGTCTTCGGCTGACCTCAGCTCTGTTCTTAATCTCAGTAAGATGACAGAAGTGCTGAGGAATTTCTCTGCTCGGTGCCTAAACTAACCTGCCAAGACATTCTCTTTAGGCAGAGCACGTTCCTCTGTTACGTCCTGACCAGCTCTCACGTGGCCCTGCTTTGTTGAAATATGACCTGCAAATACCAAACTCTGCCCTTAGTAACCTCTCCAGACACTGCCCACCTACGTGCAGATGCATCCACAAAATATCTCTCCTTGCCACAATATGTACAGAGGAGGCCGCAGGCAAGCACATGGCAGAGCTCCTCCCTTCCTCACCTTACCTACCTGTACGCTAAGGCCAACTGAGAGGTGCCAGACTCCCTTTTTTTTGTATTTGCCATTGTCAGTGCCATTCTGTGCTTGTGTGAGGCTAACGAAAGACTCCGTCCAGATGTTGGTGTGAAGCTCCACAGCTGAGCAAACAGTGTCTTCTCTACAGCATGATATGTTTAAAATGGCAAGCCAGTCCAAAAAGGAGCAGACCGACTGGGTTCTGAGGAACAGAGTGAGTCAAACACTGATTATCTGATTGAGGGGAACAGATTAAAGTTCAACATTATGGCTCCAAAAGAAGAAAAAGTCCAGAGTAGCACCAAATGGTGAAAGAAATACTGTGTTATACGACTTTGGTACTGTTTTTAACACAATTCTGCCACTATACTTTTAAAGGCCTCAAACATACGTCATTTGAAAGCACAAAGTCTCAGGATGTGAATGGTGTAAAACATTTTAAGACACTAATGTGACAGTGGCGACAGCGATACTGTTGTTCTTCACCTTACTTGTTAAATCGTTATGTGCTGGACAATTTTCACCACAAGAGTCCAATGAGCAAAATATTTTCAAGCTTTTTAGTCAAAAAGAAAGCATATGTTCAAGGGTTAATGGAAAAGATCTTTCCCTCTTGTTTTTCATCAGTTTGCACCTATCAAATATTGTTTTTAGCTGCAGCCTAGCCACAGACAGTCAATCAGTCCAGCGATGTGAGTCAGACAGAAATACTTCATATTATTAGATGACTTCTGTAAAAATGTTCCCAGACTTTACAGTGACTCCAGTCTTTGATTTTGGGAGATTTTTATTCTACTTCTGCAATGAATTTACAGTTTGAATAATGAAAAAAAGGGGGGAAAAAATAGAATTAACATGTACTGTGTTATCCAGATTAGAAAAAAAAATCTGAGCTCCACAAGCTATAGAGAGGCAGTTTGTCTAGACCTATTTATTTTACTTCTACAAACTAGAAGCTTAACACAACAACTGTAAATAAAGATATTTCACTGTGCTAAATGTATCTTGCTCTAACTTACAGACAACTTCTTCCTCTGTTTGTCATTTTTCAGCCATGCTGCATTTATTTCACTGATCCATCATGTTTTATTTTCCTCTCTCTTGTCATCTTCTCTCTGCTCTGGGTAAACACATCCTGCAGTTCACTTGAAAACTCTCAACCTTTTTATCACATGGCTGTTGGTCACAGCTGAGTCAATCATGGCTTTCCCGTTGAACTGAGGAGCACAGAATCTTTGAGGCTTTTACAAGATCTAATTTGTTCGTTTTTTAGTTTTTGGGTTTTTTTTTTTTAGTTTTTTGGGGGGAGAAGATTTTTTTTAAATATCACAATTTTTAGCTTAAATATGGCTATTTTGCCTAATAGAGCCGTATGTTGTACAGAAAGGTGAAAATCTGATGAATTATTCTGCTTTTACAGTTTTTTTTGCTCTGCTCAATGGTGTTATTTTGCCAATTTTTGGAAAAGGAACACATATCTTTCCAACCTGCCAACAGGTTTTGGTCTCCAGAGTTAACAACCCCTGACTGTTCATTTAATGTCATCATCAGGTCTACATTTATATAAGATTTCACTAAGTGATGGTAAATATACCTGTCCAGGGTGTCCCCTGCCTTCGCCCTAAGTCAGCTGGGATAGGCTCCAGCCCCCCCGCGACCCTAGTGAGGATAAAGCGGTGCATAGATAAGGGATGGATGGATGGTAAATATGATAAATAGTATATCTAAATAAATATCCTATCCTCATGTCATTTAGATTGTGATTATGTTTGCCTTGCTATGTTAGCATTTATCTCAAAGCACTGCCTCACTGCAGCCTTGCATAGCCGTTAACATGGCTACGTAGCAGATCTAGACTTTAACCCGACAGTACAGAGATCCTCTGCTGAAACGGTCTCTGTCCGTAAATATTGTCTTCAAAGTTCCTAGGCAGACGGGAATCAAGCTGGCTAAATAGGAGTAGGGGGGATTTTCCAGACACTCTAAATAACATAGACAATCTATTCTGGCAGGGAAGCACCTTGGCAACTTCCAACGTAAACCATTTCAATTGCGCTTAATCTCCTCGGTTCACCGCTTTCTTAAGCTGAGACTGAGCTCGGTTTTGTTGTAAATACTCAACATCTGTGCATTTAACAGCGTATACATTGTCTGGGCTCTGTTTTCCAGTACAACATTCAAAACCGCTTCTTCATATGTAAAGCTGGTTTGAGACAGGGATTTGTTCAAAGGAAAAATATCTTTGAATGAGGCGAAGCAGTACCCACTCCACGGTGAATATGATCCACACAGGTTTCTTCTGTCATTCTTCTGCTGTTTGAAACTGTTTGTGTTTGCTGCAAAAACACATTTGTCCACAGTAAAAACATCTTTGAGTGACTCGGCAGAGATATTCTCTGGCAGGTTCTGTCAATCCTCCCACTCAGAGAAAATATCCCAGTGCTATTAAAACAAGTGTTGACTTAGACAATCTCCTACAGACGTGAATTAAGCCATGATGTGATGAATTCTAAGCCAGGAAGGAGTCTTAACCAGTAGCTGAGAGATCCTCTTTTTAACAAGGAGAAGAGTGAGAAAAGGACTCCATTCATCCTGCTCTGGCTGTGTTTTAGTAGATATGGCAGGGCTGTATAAGATCCTGAGCGTTGCGTCTTCACAGAGGTCTGTCAGCAAACATGCCGCCAGCGTCTGCCTGCGGGCCTGTTTGTCTCTGAGGCCACAATCTGCACGCATCACTCAAAGTAAAGCTCCTCCATTCAGCTGATGAAGTCCTACAGTGTGCATGAACAAGTTGGTCTTGTCCAGCTGGAATGTAGGATTTGAAACTGTTACCAGAACTTTTATAGTTTGATTTTTTTCATCATAAAGCAAAGACATGCAGTTACAAATTAAAGAAGAAATGTTTCAGATAAAGTGGAACAATTGCTTTTGGCTATCTTTTTGAAAAACAAGGAAAGAGCTGTTCTCATAATAAACTCCTAACTCCTCAATATTTATTGCATCAAATCCAACATACCAAACAGAATGTAATAAGGCTTTCAACAATGTTTTAACAGTACAAACAGTTTTCAATATTTTGCATTCACTCAGTTATGCACATACATGAAAACATACTCCAACATACTGCACTAACTATTTAACATAAAATAACTACTGGCAGTTTGCTATTACGACTACCAAGAGGTTAAAGGATGCAGATATTCTTTATTTTTCTGTGATCAACACATTCCATGAAAAGACCAACAATGAATTCTACCAGCACTGATTGTCAATGTGCATCCAAAGCTCGATGCATCGCATTCCTCTCATTATGATTCATGCTGTTTAACCGGGTGCTCCTTCATCATCATGAATATTGGCATTGCGGTTCTATTTTGGTTGATCCCACGTACACCATCCGCCTGCCATGAATACTCACTTGAAAACGCACTATTTACTCCAGTTTGAGTGATGGTGTGTAAAAACTTCCTCTGCACTTTATGTGACATCTCATCAGACCAAAATGTTGTGTATTCTGAATCCATTACACACTGCTGACTTCGATCTTTTCATGAGCTGTGTCAACATGCAACCAAAATATAGAACTTCCTATCCTTCAAATAAAACGAGAACAACCAGCGATGTGCACATAACAGCAACAAAAAGCAGCAAAACGAGACAAGGACAACAAACAGCAGCAAGACAGACATTTTAAGCTATCAACCAGCACTCAAAGAACACACGCATCTGACAACAGTACTTGTATTTGTTAAGGCAAAATAACAACAACAACAAAAAAAAATCATTTGTAAAAATACACAATCAAGTAATTCTGATGATATCACTAGTTTCATTTACAAAATTGGTGGAAACTCATTTTGCATTTATGACCAATAAACGCAATGTAAGACTTCATAGCAGAAGTGTAGCTCACAGCTACACCTGGAATACAAATGTTACCAATTGCACTTTTTTTTCAGATGGTGCTGTCCAGTAGGGAGAGATATTTTGCTGCAAGACTCCTGCAGGTATTACAGGAAATGTTTCAACCTCTGAAAAGAGAGAGAGAGGGAAACATGAACAAACAAAAATCCAACATGTATGGAAGCATACGAGTATAGACCGAATTCAGCATCACTTGGTGTACTTATGTTCTGTGTTGCTGTTTAAAGAACATGTTTTTTGTTTTTTTTTCCCGAGCTAAGAAAACTAGTCCTGCTTGTAGCTTTGCGCCTTCTTAAGCTAAACCACAGGTATTTTTTAAAATGTTATATTTACAGAGGAATTAGGGTTGGTTTAATTTAAACCCATAAGTAAGTAAGAACATAATCCACAATTTAATATTTTCTCTGTAATATTCATCCCAGTAAAGTATATGACATGTCTGCAATGTCTAAAAATGAAGATAAAGCACATGCTGTGTTCATTCTCTTACAGTACCTTGTTACTCGACAGTTGCGTGTCTGAACATAAATTCCTGTGTACGTGATATCACATCTCACTATGTTGTTGGTGAAGTCTGACTCCAGAACATGGAGGTTGGGATTGACGGTAACCTGAAAAAAATCAGACATAAAAACCTGAGCAGCTTTGCAGGCTGTGTCATGAAATACAAATCAATAAATGGAGAAAAGTGTGCACTTAAACAGATCTGAACTCGTGATACGTGCGTTACCTTCAAGATGTAGTTTCCTGGAGGTACATCAGTGATGTCGATCCACTGACAGTCGATGTTGGCAGCATAGATGTCATGGCATCCTGGGCTCAGTCCCTGAAAACACAAACCCAACCCTGTCGGTATCGTTCACAGCTTTGATTTAGGCTCTTTAACTAATGTTTTCCTGCAAGTGCTGCAAATGAAGAAGTTCTGAGTTTTAGTTATATAAACAGTTCTTGGAAGCAAAGCTGCTATAAGAAACCAGCACTAAGCAGCACAAAGCCAGAATCACAGAGCCCAGAAAATAGATTGCCATGACCTCAGGATGTTTCCTTTTATTTTGGCACACAGCAGAGTTTTACTTTTGAAAAACATTTCTCAGAAGTCTCTATAAGTGGATTAGCAAGAAACTCTATTTTTATGTATCATATTTTTTTAATGTATTGACATTACTTTGTGAAAAATCTATTTTTCTTTCACATGAAATGCAAAATCAAAATGTTTTGAAAAGCAATAAAAGGTGCAGCAGGGGGATGCAGTGGGTTAGCACTGTCGCTCCACTGAAGGTCCTGGATTGGATTCCCAGCCTGTGGTCTCTCTGTGTGGAGTATGCATGTTCTCCCTGAGCCTGTGGGGGTTTTCACCAGATCCTCCCATAGTCTAAAGACACTATTAGGTTAGTTAGTGATCGTAATTACCCATTGGTGTGAGTGTGCATACATTGGTCCTGTGACTGGCGAGCTATCCAGAATGAACCCTCCCTAAATCAGCTGGGATTGACACAAGCCCCCTGCGACCCAATAGACAATGAAGATGTGTATAGATAATGGATGAATGGATGAAAGGGGAAAAAAAAACTCCAAGGGGGTGGATATTTTTATAGGCACTTTAGATCCAATCTCTTTAAGGCTCCTGTACTGAAAAGCCCAGTCTGCTCTGATTGGTTATCTGGCCCCACTAACCCTCACCTCTGAATATAAGGATGAACCTGCAGCTTTGCAGTTTGTGATTGAACATTGATGTGACTGATGGCTGTCCCCTCTCTTTGTATTTGATTCCTCAGCTGTGACAGGCCTCTTGTGGGTTTTTTTTTTTTGGTTTCTTCCCACCATTGCAAACTGCTTTCTCATATCAAATCTGAAGGCAACTTTGGATTGTTGGGTTCTCTGTTCTTTGTTTAAAACACGTAAGTCTTCACCTTGCTATGTGAAGCGCTATGAGATGACAAGATATGTGAACTGGTGCTATAGAAATAAAATTGAATTGAATCGTGTAAACCACACACATAACATATGACTGTATATTACCTGTGTGTGAGATGTACAGGCATAGCGCCGCCTGATTCCAGGGTCACAGCCTGTGTCCTCCAGACAGAAACTGGCCTTGTGTCCTTCGGCCACCTTACGTCCTGTGATGACATCCAGCAGGTCGTAGTTACTGAAGGCGTCCATGCTGTGGTAGTGCCTGAAAGTGTAGAAAAGACAGAGATGAAATTAATAATAACCTTTTTCTTGACGCAGGAATGGTTGTAGGGCTCCAACTTTATTGTCTTAACTGAATTTGGAGGGTGTGGTGTTTTCCTGACTTGTCATATCAGATCTGAATAGAACCAAACTGATCCCAAAAACATTTTAAAACGTGATGTGAGCTCAGTTCATTTGTATTTTCAGGCTGAGTAAACTCACTGGTGACAGCTGTGCCAGTCCCACTGGTATCTCGGCTTGACAGGGAGGAAGTCGGTGGTGCCTTGGTTCTTCACTTTCTGTGGAAACCGCAGGAGAACTCTAAAGTCGATGTCTCGCACGGCAGGTCCATAAGCCGACCTTGGATGGATCACAGGGGACACAGGCATAAGCTGTACTGGAAAGAGCTATTGGCTGAGCTCCCAGCTCTAGTTTTCTTAAAAGTAACAGAGCGCAAAGGGTTTGTTCCATTGTGCTTAATGCTTTTGGGAAAACCAACCCAGAACATTTATGTCTTGGCAGGACATCATGTTGGAGAATCATTTCTCCATAATAAGATCAAACTGTTTTCGCAACTCTACCAACAGAACTGTTATCCCAACACATCGACTGCTTAAACTGATACAACTGAAAGCAGTCCTGAAACAACCAAAACATGTGCTAAAACATGTCACATTAACCATCAGTGAGTGAAAGGAAATACCTTGTGTGTGTGTGTGTACGTGTGTGTGTACGTGCAGCTGTGTGCATACTGAGCAAGTGAATCACTTTTGGCACCACAGCTTACCTGGCCAGACAGTTCTCCTCAGCTGCACAGCGGAGCGCATACATCTGCATGCGTTGGATATAAGCACCTGCTTGGATGGCGTATGGGTCTGGCACGAGGTCTGGCAGTCCTGGAGGAGGAGATTAAAGGCACAATTCTTTTGAGATCTTAATGTTGCCTGTTTATTCTTGCTGTGAACAATCCACTGAAAATGAGTGTAGCCGTTTGCTGGCATGTTTCAATGTGTTTTACACGTCTTTGCTGTCATTGACATCCAAACAGGATTTGTTTTTCTCTCGTTGCCAATCAGCTTTTTACTTAATCTGACAGAGAAATGTGCCAGTGTAAATTCCCATGAAATGATTCACCCAACCAGCTCATTTGAAATATAATGATGGTTTTATCCTGCCTCCGGTACCCACTGGACCATCATTTTAGTGTGGAGTCATTTAACTCCATGCCAGGTAAAGGGCAGGTTCACAGTTTTTCAAATCCATCATAAAGCAGTGGTCATGTGAATGGTTGTGACACATTCTGTAATGATCCACACTCTTTTTATTGACCATTGCGATTATGATATCATGTGTTTCATGAAAAAATAAATTCTACTGTTCATATTAAATTAATATCAAGCTTCGGCAGTTTGAATTAGTCAAATCAATATCTGGATTTTATTCTAAAGTACTCAAACCACAACAAACAAAAGATAATAGTCTGATCAGGAACAGTAATTACAGAAAGAAAGATAGTTTCACTGAGTTGAAAGACTGTGAACTTGTCCTTTAACCTGACTAAGCTCCCGCGACATGAAGAGGACCCTTGACTTACCATTTTGAAAGTATCTTGTTCCGTGCCCTGTGCCAGGCGGACGCTGCGAGCGGGCCACTGACCTCCCTCTTGTGGGATACATGTTGTAGAAAATAGAGTTCCTGTGGTTTTTAAACGGGTTTCGAGGGTCGTCGTTAACCATGCCCTCACCATTACTGACTACTTCATTTAAAACATCCTCACTAAGTGCAGGAAATGGAACTGGAGCCTCAGATTCGGTTCCCACAGTTGTGGGATATGCTGGGATGGACTGATCCGTCTGAGCTGGTTGCCTGGAGACAGGCATCGCCTCTGGCGCCGCGCGTAACTGCTGGTTTTGCGCTCCGGGCCCTGATTCCCCTCCTCTGGTGTGTAATGCACTGCTCGCCCCTCTGACAGCAGCTCCTCTTCTGCCCAGGAAATTTGTTGAAGTCCCCACAGAAGAGGAGTTGATGGCGTTAGTGTTTTCAGGGTTAAATCTTCGTGCACCTGCATAACCTGCAGCTCCTGCTCCGTAAGGGCGCTCAGGCAGCTGACGGGCCCCTGACGAGCGACCATTAACGGGCGCAACCTGTCTAACAGATGTGAAGGATCCTGGCGCTACACCGTGATCAGTCCTGAAGTGTCTGAATTCACTCTGTCCGGTCGCTCTTCTGTGCGCTCCCGGCATTTGGCTCACAGTGCCATCCCTCCTGCCGCTCATATAAACCCTCGAATGGCTTCTGGACCGAACCGGAGACTGGTACTCTGATCCAGTGCTCATTAAACTGTAAACCTGCCCGTTGTTCTCCCACTGAATCCGGTGCCGCCAGGGGCCAGCTGTGCGCTGCTGCCCAAAGATGATGGGAAGTAGTCCTTGGAAAAAGTATAAAAATAAAAGTGACCATTTTGCCATGGCAATAAAAGTGAAAAAAAAAAAAGAATCCCTCTCTGTAAGTCAGTGATTATGACATAAATTGCGCGCTTTTTGGAGAGTGGATGAAAAGCAGGAGTGCGCTCTGAGCTCTGACACAGGACAACATGCCACTTCTTAGGAGGGCTGACAGTTGGAGAGGAGAGGAGAGGAGGGCTGCAGCCTTTTTCTGCTCGTTTATCGAATTCAGCCCACTTAATTTCCTAAAGTCGAACTTCTTGCAGGAAAATTTAACCCATCACTTGCCGTGGCTAGGTTCGGTTACACAAGATTTACACAAGGACGTTTGCTAAGTAAACTTTACGCGAGGGTGCCAACTGAAGTCATCCAAATGTTCCCCTTCAATTTGGTCATTTTAACGGAAAAATAGAGGCTATTTGTTAAATATATAGTCACTTTCTCATCAGTCCTACATTGAACATGAAGACTGCGAAACAAAAATGCGCATCCTCCTTTGAATATAAATCAGTGACAGAACTCAAAACGTACTTAATTCACTTTATTATAATGGATTATTAGATCCCTGCTTGTGCATTTTTAGGATTAAAAAGCAAGTACAAGCTGGTAGATTTGAACCAAATCTGTCATTCTGTAACATCTCTGACAAAGCTGCATAACAGTTTTATGGCATAAAGAATGACCACAAGGCGGCGGTCTGCGTTTATAAGTTACAGTCCTGCACACTGTTACTACTCAAGAGCCTTTTATCATCCAGCATCACTTATGGGAATCTGTAAAATACGTCCATTTTCATCAGGAACCTCATGTTTCGTGGCCAGAATAAGACCTATTTAACAGGGCTCTTGTCAAGTCTACTTTGCATTTTAATTTTCTGGTTAAGCAGTTTGTCCTTTTGTAATCATCCAAGTTAATATGTGATTATGAATCTATTTTTTTTATAACCTGCAGTGGCTGACAGCTCCAGTCCAAGATGAGTTTATTGTGTATATTTTGGATGTACCGTTTTTGAGGACATTGTACACAGCATTCCCATTCCTCTACCTGTAGCAGCAAAGCAGCATGTGGATGTGCTTCCAAGAGTTTGGCGCAGCTGCAGTTTAAGGTTCAACACATACTAAGTATACAGCCACTGGGTTGTGCTTAGGTGCCAAAAGTGTCGCCAACTGTTTTTACGTGATGCAGTGACCATAACAACACACAATAATAACTCTGTCTGACTGTCTAACTAAAGTTCCGTTGACACAGTCTAGTTATTTGAACAGGTGGCTTTGCAGTTTGCTTGGATTATCCCCTATTTTTTGCAGTTAGTTTGGCACAATATGTTCTATAGGCAGCCTGCTGCTAGATGAATACAGATTACAGGTGCATTAATGTGTTCTTGCACATTAACACATCAGTAATAACAAATCAAATAATGTACAGTACAGAGCAAGAAAACAAAACTAAGCAAAAAATTAAAAATGGAGACAAATGCAAAATCTGTCAAAACAACAATGAATTCAAAAAAACATTTCAACTTAATTTAATACCTCAGTGTGCTTTTAGTTGGACAAATACCAAAAGGAGGAAGGTTGTTGCATTGGAACTACCTGCAAACCCAGTTTGATTTATGTCAAAATGAACGAGCACACTCTAAATGGAGAACAAAGACTGCCTCATACGACATTCCACACATTATCTGACCAAAGCGTGAATCAGTGTTGACAATCATATCTAAACAGGATATCAGTATGTTACAAATATTGTGAGTAGAATTCAACTCGTCGTCACATTTTGAACAGATTGCTTATGTGAGTTGAAGAATGCCTACTAGTTACTATGAAATGACCTCTGAAGATTCTACCAGCGAAAATACTTGAAAATAATAATGATAGGATGAAAATACTTGTGAAAATTGCATTAAAAATAAGTTGGAACTTTCTTAATGCGCCATCAAATTTTTTTCACTTTAAGATGACAATTAAATAGTAAGGACTAAATTATACATTTACATACTTGATGAGAAGATTTTGTGCACAGAATGCATCATATTTAAAATACATCTTACTCTATAAAGTAACTCTTGCTTAGAGGTGCCAAATACATCTAATGGAGCAACAAAAGTACATTGATTTCCTCTGACATGTTGGCTGTGGAAAAGGAAAGTACTCAGTTCAAGTTTATTTGTACAGCATACTTCATTACAAAGGTAATGCATACTCTGCTCTCTCTCTCCTTTACCCTCACCAGCTGAGGCAGGGGGCTGTTCTCCCTGAGCTTGGTTCTGCAGGTCCCTTTCTGTCAACGACCCACAACATTTGTACCTTGCTGCATGTCCACATGGCGCCTTTTATGTTCTAAAAGACATATCACGAGTGAAATAAGCAGTCAACACAATTCACCTTTAAAACTACAGTGTACTGATGCCCAGATTCAGACCTCTGGGGTTTCATGTGCTACAAACCTAAAGAATCAATCCTGTCATCTTGCAGTGTGAGGCTCTCTGAATCATTATTGTTCTTCAGAATCAGTTTCCAGTTTAAACATCCATCCATTATCTATACACCGCTTAATCCTCACTAGGGTCATAGGGGGGCTGGAGTCTATCTCAGCTTACTCAGAGCCAAGGCAGGGGACACCCTGGACAGGTCATCAGTCTATCACAGGGCTACATTTAGAGACAGACAACCAAGCACACTCACATTCACACCTATGGACAATTTAGAATCACTAATTAACCTCAACATGTTTTTGGACCTTGTAGGAGGAGAGAACCCACGCTGCACGGGGAGAACATGCAAACTTCACGCCCCCACCGGGACGCAAACTGGCAACAGTGCTACCAACTGCGCCACTTTGCAGCCCCAGTTTGAACATATACACCTGAATTACTCCCGTGTTACAGCTTTAAACAATGCAGTAAAGAATAGTTTTACAGGGTTGTGTAGGTGAGCTTGTGTGCTTGAGCTGCAGTGAGGGGAGTGAGGTGGCTGGAAAGAAAGAAGAAGAGATTACTTTACTGGAAAAAAACAACAATTTTATAACTTTGACACACAGAGGTGAATTTGAAGAGTTCTAATCAACAAACAGAGAGCAACTTTAAAAGAGAATATTATTCTCCTACATTCTGAAAAGGCCTTTTTCAAAGAGATTAGTTGGATTTGAATACTGTGAGGTCTTTACGTTACTATGTGCGATGACTTGTGTTGAGACTTGTAAAAGAAACTGAATTTACCTAAAAGCGCTTCACATAATGTATTAATACATGAAACCAGAAAGAAAATAATACAAAAGTATTACAAAACAAATTGAAAGGAAAAAAAAGCCTTTTAAAAATAAAACAAAGGGGTCATACAGTAAAAATGGAAAAAACATTTAAGCACAATAGAGAAAAGTGTACTAAGTTACTTTCCTTCACTGTGGGTTTTAACATAAATGATAACTGAAGACTATAATTAATCACAGTGTTCTTTTTCAAGGAGGGCATTTGCTTGATGTGGGTCACAAGTATAAGACATACACACTAATGTATAGAGGAGTCATGCTTAGCTCAGTGTTTGTCACTTCTCAGATGACTTATTGTGGTGTATGTTTCCTCTGCCAAATAGGGCATCAAGATGGCAAGCCTCTACACTTCTCTATTCTTAGCTAAAGAAACCTCCTCCTGTTCCAAAGACCAGCCCCGCCCCGCTCTGCTCCCTGCTGCAGTCCAGATTTATAAGAGCCACAGATCCTCAGCACTGGTTTGGCACAAGACTTCCTGAGCAGGACATGTAACCCACAAAATTTAGCCAGTAAGTATTAACGTCGAATTCAGTCTTTCTTGTGTGTCTTACCTGAAAGTAAACAAATCACAACAAATGTTGCCACAAAAACTAATCTTTACTGTAACTTAGGAGTGCTTGGAAATAAAATAAACAGTTTCTGGTTGTTTTCATGGTACACCTACAGCAGCAACAGATCTTTCCCCGTGTGAAAGACTAATTCTTGTACGCTTTGAATATATCTTATCCCATGAATCTAGGTATCCAGGGCTGCTCACAGCTTTGCTTCTTGTGAGATTAAACGAAGATGATGGTCTTAAAATGGTTTTACCACAAGAAACTCCCCCTACAAGGAATATACCTGTTGTCTTTCCCTGAGGCCTCACACTGCCATTCTGAGGAGTAAAATGATAGATCCAGAGGGTTTACCACAGATCATGGGGAGACAATACAGGTGAGATGCTGAAAAAATGTTTGAAAAATGACAAATTTTTAATTCTGCTTCGGGTAAATATGCAGTTATGTGGATATTTAGTGTAGTTCCTTCTGAAAGCAAAAACTAATTACGTTGAATTTTCAGTATAACCTAAATCAAAATAGAAATGAATAAAGAAATATTAATCATTGGACATTTGGCCGGACACAGGACTGCATATCATCAGGTCTTGTGACTCGTATCTTGCTTATCTTTGATTAACCATTGCCAAAGTCATTCTAGTCAGCTCTTCTCACGTTTTAGCAACATGCTGCTGTTCTCATCTTCACGTTTTTATTTATGTACACGTGACAAATTAGTGGTGAGAGCCTTTAATATGTGACCTATTGAACCAGTCCATAAAGGGCTTCTGGACAGATGACCTTGGACTGAAACCTCAATGTAAATGGCAAGATCAAGGATCTGATGTTTAAGAGATATGCTGATGGAAAAAAAATTAAATGCAGTCTGCTGAAATATATGACATGCTCCACATATTTACATTATTAAAACATTACATTTGAATTGTTTTTAGTAGTTTGAGAGGAAAATAGTTTTAAAATGCAATAAAAAAATATTTGTTTGTCCTGTACTGACTGGGGATAGAGGAAGTTTTTTAGCACCAGACATACAATTTATTTCACTTTTGGGTTTTTGTGTTATTACAAAGCAATCAAGTGGTCATAACCTATTTGTTCACTTCTTGGCCTTGGAAAATATAAACAGTGAAAAACATATGGACACTCTGTTCAGTTATTACATAAACAGGGATCACTTTAGGTTAAGTCTTCCTATTCGTCACTTATAAGCAGTACATCAACAAATAATGTATTTTTTTATCAGGAAAATATAATTCATGCTGTGGGGAACCATAAGCTGAGGCTGGTGTATTAACAGATAATAAAAGACTCAATACAGCTGCAGTAATACTATATATTAGCAACTGTGCTGTACATTAACAGAGACTTATAATGTCCTTATCCCTGCTTACAACTACATTATTGTGAATTAGAAACAATTTATCACATGTTCATGCACTAGCACTGCTCATACGTGCTAAACCAGGTGTTGCACAAAAACAGTTGTTCACATATGTTTGACGAAGTGAGGCCATAAATATTCCTGTCATTCATTCAGTGGCATAACCACAACTGTTCACATGCCTCAGGGGTCCTCGCTCACTCATACAGGGGCTCCGTGCAGCATGTGACGGCCGCTTATCTCCTGTGTCACTGCCTCTCCTCCCTAATATGGACGGCCCGGCTGTACATTTGGTGGTTTCCATGGAAGCAGGTGACGTGGGAGCGCATGCCACCCCACAAGGCTCTCAGTTTAGCGGGCGGTGGCCTGGGGGGACCGGCCCCTGAGTCAGACCAGGCTGTGGAGGTTTCAGAGGGTGTGTGGTAATCAGTAATTGGCTGTACACTTGTTAAATATATTCCCCTGACACCTCAGGCACTTAGCCTAAATATAAACTAACAGAGCAGTTACACTCCAACTGGTGGCATGTAAAGACTCCCAGAAACGCATCACAAGACCCCCAGTCTCCCCACCCCCAATACCCCAACACACCCTCTGTGTTCTGAGCGAGGTTATGCGTATGATCACACGGGAAGGAAAAAGTCTGCGTGTCACCAAAGGCTTATAGATGATATTGTATATTCTGAGAGTATAAACCTTCAGCGTCTTAGTCATCAGTCTTCGTTACAGACAAGTCATTTGTTTTGTGGGTCAAAGGGGATTCTGTGTCTTCCGATGCAGTTAGAAACTACAATTGTTTTAGAATTTCAATTAAGGTGAAAATGCGTTGCTTCGTGTCACAGCTGAGGTTGGAGGTTAAAGCAGTGTAGGTGACTTTTAAATGACTTTTGCTGTTTTGGAGAGGTGTTGACCAATCAGTGGTAAACACAAGCACTTTCACTCCATGTCTTGTGTAAAAAGATGGCAGAAACTGCAAATAAAATAAACAGCACAAGGACATGAGGTGTTATTCAAATGTACTGGGTGTGTTGTTAGCACAGCAGGGGAGCATAGTTCAGTCTTTGACTGAACGTGAGGGAACCAAGGTGCTGGTTTTAGCTTGATTCTTGAGCAAGACATATGCAGAACACTGTGTAGCTCACTCTGACCTCCCAATGTGGATGGAAGAGATAATTTCCCCCACAGGGTTTACAGAAATGTCATCAAGTTCATTTCATTGGGAGCCACAGAGGGAACTTCATGTCCTGTTAAGTGTTCCTCTTTAGGTTGCACTGCCTTTTCTTCTTTGCTTATTCGTGAATACACTTGATGTGATTCTGTGATGCTCAAGTTAAACAGCAGTAAAAGAAGTTACTATATATACTGAATGTTTCTCTCTTGAAAGATTAGAACTCTAGGTGACACTCAAAACAAACTGAACATGACTCCAAAACGGATGGATTTTAGGTCATAGATATTACAATATTTTTTTTACATATTAAAAACAGCTCTCTACAGCAGCGATATGCGCCTTACAGTCTTACAGTTTTTGATCTGTAATGAACTGATTCACAGATTTGCTTGTTTATATAGTAACTATTCAGTAATGACTTTTTACTATTACTCAGTTATGAAAATAAATAATTTCAAAATGAGTTATGGGCCTTTTAATATTTATTCAATTTATCTGATAAACATTAACAATTTCTGACCCCCTGTCATGGCAAAAGCAGGTTGAGTATCCCTGTTCAGTATAGCTAATGAATGGATTAAAGCTGGCATGGTAGGTATTTAGATATAGATATGATAATTGTAGATGGTTATGCTAAAGAGAACAATAGGTAATGTGTGGAACAGATGATTCAGTTCCAGGCACTCATAGAAATAAATAAATTGTCTTCAATAAATATGACCAAGCACGTCATAAAAAATCTATTGGTATATTGTCATTTTGTGAATGTAGGAGCACCTGTTTGTTTTCTGTAAAGCCATAGATAGCTTTACAAATGCTTCCTAATGTTCAAAATGACGGTTACACTGCTGTTAAATGGAATCACTTCTCTTTTTTCTTTTTCCTTTGTGCTCACTGCAAATCATTGTCTCTTTTCCAGCTGCTATTATGACTGCAGGGCACTAGATCTAATCTAATGGGTGATTTTCAAGAGCTGCAGGACGTTATCAGTCATCCTCTATATACTGCACGTGTGTGTGTGTGTGCTTTATGAATCATGACTTGGAAGAAAAACAGGACACGTGAAGTGGATTGAGTCATTTCTTTGAGTTGTGAGACACAAATCCTTCCTCCCAGTGGGCATTTTATACTTTGACATGCAACAAGATCAGAGATCAGATCCGTTACAGGTGTTACGCACTGGGCAGTCCAGAGGTGGCTTATCTTTTAGAAAAAGTTACATAGGATCATACAAAACACAACACTTCTGTCATTAGTTCTTAATAAGTTACATGATTTCCTATTTACAAATCAGGCTAGAAGAACAGAACTGGTGTTACACGTTCACTCAGAATCATATTTACAAGTCTATACACAAATCTGCTGTGAGCCCCGTCCGGCTGTAGAGAGAGAAAAGAAGTGATGTTACACACACACCCAATCAAACAATTATCAGTGATCTGTCAGTGAAAATGCAAAAGGCTATTTTTGATTTACCTATAACTTGTTCAGCAGACAGTTCTGAACGCTTTCGTACACTGTATTGTAGATGTTCTCCTTTGATGTCATTCCATCAAGGTACTCTGTTCACAAACAGACAAATCAGAAGTTAATGACAGTCATTTGAAATCAGTGGTTAGCAGATAAATCCTTGCTTTTGTAGAAGAGAGCAATTTTTTTTATCAGGGAGAGACATTATATATTGTTATAGAGGAGAAAAACTAGATTAACAAACCTATTCTGTCGCAGTTGTCCTCCATCTCTTTTCTGTGCTTCAAGTACATGGGCCAGACGTGGCCATCGAACAGGCCGGGGGGGTCAGGGACTGTGTATGTCCTCGTACTGAGTAGACACAATCAATTAGGTAATATTATAGCCAGTGCTACTGTGTCTAACTCCTGAGCAAAATCTGTCAAAATCACTCCAAGAGCTGGTTACCTTCTCCTCCTTTTGCACTCCTCATAGGGAATGGAAATGTAGAAACATTTGTCATAGACGTCAATAAGAGGCCTGCACAGAGGAACCAGAGCTCACATTAGTGAAAAGCTTCTGACGTCAGGAGGTTTGTGGGCTGCATTTTAGAGCCTGTGAAGAAAAACGAGTAAGATGACAAGCAACCCACTTGTAGTTGTAGATGAGGAACCCCTCCACGATGAGAATATGGACTCCCTTGTCCTCTGAGTCGGATTCCTCAGCTTCAGGTGACAGACTGATGCCGTGAGAGCGGGCAAACTTGACAGGGTTCTCCTGCCAGCCTTTGACAGTGTTGATCATAGCCTCCATGTCCAGAGCAGTGATCACTGATACACAACAAGGACAGAAAAGAGAAGACGGGCTTCACCACACATGCACTCAACACTCCTCACCAATGTGCTTTAACACACATTAGTCACGGTTAGTGAATGTCTGTAGCATTCACAGAATATTTGAAAGAATATCAAAAAGTTTAGGATTGATTGGTTACCAAACTAAAGAAATGTGCAGGAAAGAAAAAGTACATTACTGCATGGTTTTCCTACGCGAAATCCATTCTTACCATCCCACTGTCTAAAGCCGTCCTCCCCGACTTCTATTTGATCGGGTTTCTGAAATAACAGTCACCAATAAAACATTGCTGCAACCTAGTAACCAGTCGGACCTGATCACACCTGGACAGGACAAGTCAAGGACTCGTCTCCACCAAAAGTACACGCACGGTGACAGTTTTCGGTGTGGTTCAATAGTTTTCTCCAATATTTTGCTTATGAAATTTGGAGTGCATATTTAGGACACAGTTTTCTGCATAACTTCTTTTATAATGTTTAAAACTATGAGAGGGTGGGATTGCACTATGTCGCCTCACTGTGGTAATAGAAAGCTTTAAGATATTAACTTCTTGCTTGTTTAGCAAACTTTCAAATTTTCTTTCTTTAAAAAAAAAAAAAGAAAACGCAGGCTCTTTCAAAATCAAGTTTTCTTTTAGTAAGAAATGATTTTAGTTGTTTTGTCTTCACAAAGCGCTAAACAATCATATAAGATGAAAATAATGTTTGATGGTCAATCATCCTTGAATGATTGTGGTTAAAATAAAATCCTCTTTTGGCCTCTTTTAAGCTAAATGCTCTCAAAAAAACGTTGGTTGCAGAATTTGCAACATCTTTCAAACAAAGTCTGACTTTAAGTGGAAAAGTCCTTTCATTGGCTGTCCAGGACACAATCAGCCAGATGCATTACTAGGCTACTGCGATGACAGGACATCTGCAGGTCAGACTGGTGGGTTATTTCTGAGCACAAAATGCCTTCAAGGGCAACTTTAACCTTACAAATTAAATATCTAAAAAAAACAATATTTGCAATGAACTCAACAGTAATACCATAAATTGTTACTGTAGCTTTCATGTAAACTTATTATAGTGACTTAAAAGAAGAGATGGAGAAAGACTTTAATTCATCCTACCTTGAAAAAGTCATCCTGATGTACCACACAACAGTTGGGTAATGTCTTTAGTAGTCTATTTGTCAAAGTGGTCTTCCCACCGTTGGTCACTCTGAAATGAAAGTCACATAAATATGAGTTACACTTCAGGTTATTGCAAGTTTTAATTATTAGACAGCAAGACAATAGAATAAATAAGACTTACCCTCCGATGCCAATGATGATCTTCATTTTTTTTTAAAAATTTCTTTTGTGTATTGGTCACCTCTGGAATTCAGTAAATAAAAGCAGGGAACCCAGCCAAAGCAAACACTCTACCAAAGGCTTCTTCTAAAAACCTTTCCCTTCTCCTCCGCCACAGATGTCCCCCCCTTTTACTACTTCATTGATAGACAATCTCTTTGCTGGGCATATAAAGGATTTGGCTGCAGCGTCACAGCCTCTGAAACCAATCAACCCCCTTTCCCTGCAGCCAATAAGCTGCCACTTTACAGCACCACAGCACCAATAACATGAGCAGGACTATGGTGCCTCACAGTTGCATGAAAGTAGATCCTACATTTTGCACCTGCTGTCGGGGGTCAGTGAACACTGGCCAACCAAATGCAAGATGGAGTTTTTTGTCGATATAGAAAATAATAGAGAATTTGTCATGTGGCTAAACTGTGAAGCACAGATTAATTCAGTCAGATGCGGTGTCCAGTCAGAAGTAAGTTGTGATTTAGATGTGATGTGTGATTCAGCAGGCTGTTTAGTTCTAGAAATGGAACTGTATGGAGAGTTAGGTACATCGTAACACACGTACATCATACATGTATATACAGATACTGAGACATCTGTACCACAGCAGAGAGCAAAGCCTCATGATTTGGGGTTTTTTAAAGGAAAATTTCCATGCTAAGACAGCTCTGGATGAGTGAAAAGCAGGAGAACTATATTTAGTTGACTGTGTCTGCCTGCTGCGTCACGCATATTTCTGATGCAACCAGCTGGAGTCCATGGCAAGCAGCCGTGTGACCGTGGTGTCTCGAGTCATGGCTTTAGGTATAATAAAACACATCAGTTTCTCTGAACTTATCAGCGCTGATTGTTACACACCTACGGATACGTGTAGTCTAACCTTGTGTTCATTTTCTTTGTATTTGTATTTGGACAGCTTCTTTTACAGCTGCTCTTATCTGTGTAGCTGTAGGTGTCAAGTAGGGGAACTTTGAGCCCCCAGCTATCAGAGCACATGCACTCATGTTTTATTGTCAGGACTGTCTCAATAGAAAGGTGACACCTGCTCACACAAAGTCATTGGCGGTAATAATCTAATGTTAGTAAACAGAAAATCATAAAAACTGGTAAAAAAAACTTGCAGAATTCATAGCGGCCCCACATAGTCTGTGGCTGACTTTAGGGCACCAAAGCATGTGGTCCAACATGAGATGCATGTGGTGCACATACTTTTTCCGCCTTAGAATCACAAGACGGACACACCTTAACTTGACCAGGATTTTTTTTTTTGTCACAGTTAAAATTAGACCTTTCAAGTTAATGCCCAGGGACAAATATCAATATCCACCGTGTCAGCTGTAAGGGAATAGTTTGTCATTTTGGGATTTTGCTCATTTGCTTTCCTGACACATTTTAATGCAAAGCTTGGCATCATTCTTATGTGTGTAGGTTAAACGTGGAGCCAGTGCCAAAAGGCAGTTAGTCGAGACAAGCCACCTTTATTTATATAACACACTTTAAACAACAGCTGTATATTATTATTATATTATATAAATATTGAGGTTAAGACCCTACAGAATTATTTATTATGTGAATTTATCTGAGTAATTTAAATATTATGGCTAAAGCCCTATGATATTATATAAAATGCCAATTCACCAGTCACATCAAACATTACAGTTATCCTACATTATTCTATATCATACAAATTGCTTGACTAACATGACTCACTTAAATGTTAAGGTTAAGAACCCAATACTTTATGCTCTAACAAATTACCAGACTAATTTAAATGAAAGTCAAGACTCTACAAAATTACACATGCAACAGATCCAAAGATTCCCTCGGAGGAATGAACACAATCTACATTGACTGTTTAATATGCAGACATAAAGAAATGTTAAAATGCTACTTTGTGATTTCAGAGGATGTTGCATCCAAGTTTTATTGGTTTTTAAAATACTTTCCACAAAACAAATGCATACCTTTGCTTGCATATGAATTAAACCACGTGTCAATCAGTCAGCTTCAGAGGTACCGGTAGGTGTTTGATTGAACTTTGTACAGGGCCAGGCTAGCTGCTTCCCTGTGCTTCCAGTCTTAATGCTATGTTCACATGGAAAATACAAAATAGTATTTTTTTTAGTTTCAAAAAGGGCAAATTATTCATTTTGAAATATCCATAAATGTAAAGTCACCCTTTATCTCCAGTATTGCTAACAACTGTGGGAACTCAAAAAAAAAATTGCACATGTTGTTTCCATGTTTTAAAAAAAAAAAAAAAAAAAAAAGTACAAAGAAATGCAACTTTATTTTATTTATTTATTTATTTATTTATTTATTTATTTATTTATTTATTTATTTATTTATTTATTTATGTTGTTATGATTTATGGTGTCATAACCGAGTCATACTGCTCAGAAGACATTTTTTAGTCTCTCTACTTCTAACCATGGTTGTGCTGTTTCCATAGTGAAAAATAAGACAGGAGCAAAAAAACAAAAAACAAACACAAACTGCTTGCTGTTCAGAAGGCTAACTGTTGAAATGATTGACCATGCATAATATATGATAAAAAAGATATTAGTAAAAACATCAGGGAATGTGTCAAAAAAAAAAGTACAGTTTGCTATGGATTATGCCCAGTGCTAATGCCCTGTGATCACAGTAACATTGCATAATAGAATAAAGAAGGGTCACTTCAAGGGTATTAAGTCCAAATGACCCCCCCCCCATAAAGAACAGCACAGGACAGTCAGATGATACAAAGAGCATCAACTGACTTGGCCACCGTACTCATAGATCATAATTATGCCCCTTAATAACTCAACTGTCAAATGCATTCTGGATCAAAGTGGAACACAGACAGAGGCAATAAAAGATGAAAATATAGGCTGTAATGTACTTGTAAGTGGGCGAGGCTGTTCTTTCAAGTCACCTGTTTAGCTTTAGGAGTTGAATGGAGGAGGGGAATAATAATGACAAAGCTCATTTCAGTTCACTCATTCATTTATTTATTTTTTACAAACAGTAAATGGCACATTTTCATAAATAACACTTTTAGCAATTCATTTGACTCTCTCTTTAAATATATTTCATTTCATTTGTAACAATGTACACTTCCCGTCTTGTAAAAGTACTTTTTTTTTAAACTGACAAAAACATGTGACAAAGACAGGAAGGATATAAACAAGCATGCCACCTGCATATTCAACTCTGGAAAACTTGAAAACTGTAACACACTTTTGCATCAGTAACATCTACTGTAGGTTTAAGAAGAACAAAATCATCGCACATTATTTTTCAGTAAATATCCATGAAACCAAACAATGCCCATGCCGTTCATGTGCAAATCCCTTGCTCAAAATATATATTACAAGTATGTACATGTTTCCAGCTCAGTCGGCAGACGCTCAAGAGTTCATCCAAGTCCTTTACTTTTCCTTCATAAAGAGGTCATGCTGTAGATAAAGCTCGACTTGACATGCAGATACTTTAAAATTTAGCATTAAGTTGTCCTGCTTTAGTGTAAGTGGACTTTAAGTTGTTAGAAGCAAGCATGTCACTGAAAATAAGAGAAATACTGAGGAATGATTGTCCTGCAGCTAACAGATCCATTCAGGGGGATTTCATCTTGTGTGATGCTGACTCCCACTGCATGAATGAATGTTCCCCACTCGCTCTTCAACTTAAAGCTCTGTAATGCAAACACAGAAAGTTTAATTCTCTCTCTGTCTCCTATATGACTCTTAAACTGTCTGACATAATCAACTCCACAAATATAGTATTAAAGCCTGGCAGTGTGTCAGTAGGCAAGCACTAAATGGAAACCAAATTCAACTTGACACATATCAGGTTTGCCTATTCATTTTTCTCTGCTTCCTCTGCTGGCATTTGGTTAGGAGACGGTGCCTGTGTCCATTCCTGGGATGTCAGCCAGTACTCCGGCTGACAGCTCTTTTGATATATGAGGGCCAATAGGAACGGTCAGCAGCACGGAACACTGCGGGGGGTTGGGGTTCTTAAATAACCCTCTTCTCCCACCCTGATGCGCCCTGAGCCGCCACGGTGGGTATTTCCCCCGATTTCATGACAGGCTCTGAGGCGCAGATCAATTTGCTCGAGCACCTTCGTATACTCCATTAAAAATAGAATTGATTGGTTATGTGCAGGCAGGCTTGAAGAGAGGAACAGCTGGGCTTTATGTAACATGGGGTGAAGTTTGAGGATCAGCTAACATTTCCTGAATTTACATGCTGTCTGAATTTAAAGACCTGAAACATGACATGGCAAAAGATAAGCTGGATGACTGACAGCAATCAGACAGACAGCAGCGTATGTCAGCTTCATGTTCAGCTTCTAAAGCTCCCAGAGAATCACCAGAAACCAGCCATTTCTTCAGCTACTGAAGAAATGACTAACATTTTTATGCAATTTCATTTTAACATGAAAATATTAACGACTGTAATAAAAGAATCAGTCACGTGATCTTGATTTCTTGTATAGCTCAGCTACCCATAAAAAATTTACAGAAATGATTTTTTACTGTACTAGTTTGAGGTCTGAGTCAATGGGATACTGTAATTTGGATCTCGGTGTCCCTGAACTGAACGCTGACCCTTTGGACCTTTGGTCAGTGATCCCAGAGTCCAGATCGGCCTTCGTCCAGCATCTGATTTACTGTATCGTGTCTCTTTCGCACACATAAGCATATGCACAGAAGAGAACATTTCCCTGTATGTCGGAGATTAGTTACAGTGGGCTGACATTACAAACCGGCCTGGAGAGTTAAATAAACGGGACCTCTTACCTTAATGTCAGATGTCACGGCCAACCTCTGCTATCATTGACTTTGGCCTGGAAACAACAGATCAAACATAAGCCAAGAGCAGATTAAATATTGTGCTTGGTAGTCTAGCTTATATTAGGCTGTACTCTCTGCTGCCAAATTATATTTATGTGTTATTCTAATATTAGTGGAGAAAGTTGCCTTATTTCAGTATAAATACGAAAATAATTAACTACAGTACTGAGCAAAAGTCAAATACTTTCAGCCTTCTAGCAGCTACAAGTTTACTGTATATCAAAAGAGTTCAGAATGTTTTGCATGTTGTAGCTGCATGCACAGGACTGTATGTACTGCAGAATGGGGTCACCTTTCTTTAGGGAGTGCTGAGTTTATCTGCTGCCCCTCTTGCTCAAGTCTGTAAATACGACAATGAGGCCTCAATATTTGCATTGACAAACAGGGAAAAACAGTGTGCATTAAAAGTTGCTTCAACACAAAATCACAGAGAAGTGTACAGCTTACCTTTCCTTTTGTGTTCTAATCTTCTCATCATCATACCTTTAATAAATGAGAATAACAAATCTATCACTCATGTGTCATTGCATCAACATATTTCATCATAGTTTGCAATTGTAAATCATGTGTAAAAAAAAAAAGGAGCCAAAGATTATTTCTGCTGTTGGCCCTGTTTACTGTGTTTAGGTATTCACTGCAGCTCTTCCCAGAGCTTCAGACAGCTATTGAATGTGAAGGTGCAGCCACCTACAGTCTGCTTAAAATTCATATGAATACTAATATGGATTTTTAGCTGCTGGCTGCAGGAATTGGCTGTCATGATTTACTTTTAGGCATCCTTAGGCTCCCCACAGCATGCCACAAAAGAATGATTGCTGAATTAGAGCAGTATTGTGCATATTAATATTTTACTGTTTTACTTGACCAAACACATGCAAGTAAACACTGAGAACTTTGCATTTAAATAAAAGCTAATAATCACTCATAAATCTCAACACTAACAAATCCTCCTTTAACACTTTGTGGCTGAGGTTTGACTTGATCATATGGTGAGAATTCTGTCTGGGTGTTATAACTCGAAGCTGGCAACACACAGCATGAGCCGGGATAGACTGGTGCAGTGTCGCAGCAGTGTCCCTTGGTGGCACACAGTACTTACTGCAGCACACACTCAGGGATCTGCACATGCTCCATGGGGATGATCTGGCTGAGCTCCTCCAGTGTTTGAACGTAGCGAATCTTATCCATGAACTTCACACTGCAGAAAACGATTACAACATGCAGTTATTGTAACAAGTGATCATGTCTAAAAATATATATGTGTATCAGGCCATATGACGCAGTGCTCATTTGAATTATGTAACAGCTACACCTTTATGCTTAGTGACTTTTGAATGCTTGCCCAGTATGTGGCTTTGGCATAATGTTATTTTTTTGTCTACGGTCTTCTCTCTGTTTCTTGGTCATGTAAAGAGAGATGCTCTCACAGCCAGTAAATGCACTGATGGACCGTAAGAATGTTCTCACCTGATGAAAGGTCTTGAGATGGCCAGGACAGTGCGAATGAACCATGTTGGGTGAGCGATAATAAGACACTTCAGATTCTTTCTCAATCTGCAGGAGACATTCAGACAGTATTTGTGATCATTGTTATTCATTTTCAACACGATGAATTCCCATTTATTGCCATTTTCTTAATCTTTAGCATTAACAAATATATTCACATTCTTGACTTTTCCTCCTGCTTTCATCACATCTGCACAGACTATTCTGATACTGTTTGTCTTACTTTCTGTCAATCATTTGGTAGCATCTCTTCAGCCAGCTGATGCCAGGCATCTTCCTGCGAGGAGTTGCTCCATTCAGGTAAATAATCATGTAGTCTTCTGCCACCAGCAGCTCCAGGCTGCTTACAACATACCTGACAACAGAGCAAACAAAGTCAGGTCGACTGAAA